AAAAAAAAAAAAAAAAGAAAGGAAAGCCATAGCATCTCAGAGAATCTTACTAAGGTTGTGAGAATCTCCTAAATGGGCTTAAAACTACCAGCAACAGATAGCTAAGGAATAACACTTTTTAAACAGTGAGTGATCAAATTTAGTTCATGTTAGTTTATCAATACAGCTGCATTTTCAAGTTGTAACAAATCAATATCTTAAACCATGTGATGGGCATGGACAGTAGAAAAATCTGAGGTTGAATGTAAGAAAAGCTGAGAAAAAAGAAATGAGAGGAGAGTGGGGAAGGGGAATTCACCAAGAAGGGAAGCAGGCCTTGCCCAGAGTCTGCAGCCAGGAGTCCAGCATTCACATTTTCCCCGGAACAGCGGCAGGCCCACGCGCTTCCTGTCCTGAGGACCCTGCCCCCCATGCCTCTGGGCAGGCCTTGGCCCAGATCTGGCTGATGGTGATCAGCCATCAGTAGATCAGCCATCATATGTCTCCCAGGAAAGGAAGCATTTGGCACATGATCATTCACATAATCATCCTACCAACAATCGCTGATGCCAACAGGAGTATCGGACGCTGGGTCAGAGATGACAGGGACAGTCTCTGTCTTCCAGTGGGCAGGAGTCTGGCCTAGGGTCTGAGCTTGAGGCTGCAGTATGCTCAAAGCTGTGACAGAAATGAGGACAGGGGGCTGAGGGTGTAGGAGCCCCACCCTGAGGAGTTGGGAGAGACACGATGCAGCTAAGTGTGGGCTCCATGGAGTGGGGAGGGCAAGGAGGGAAGATGGCAGCAGGGGACGAGTCTGGAGAGGCAGGCAGGGGACAGATCAAAGGCTGTGGAGTGGGGCAGGGAAAGGACATGGACCTTGACATCAGACAGGCCGGCTCATCTACTGACAGGCTGTTAAACTTTAGGCAAGTTACATCATCTCTCTAAACTTCAGAGTTTTTCATATGCAAATTGAGAGAAATTAGGTACTCACAATTCTTCTCCCCCTCCCTACCTTTGCCAAGATCCAATGTGGGCAGAGAATATTCCCCACACCATTGACAATGGGCTCAGCCACATGACTCCCTTTGGCCAGTGGAATGTGTGTGAAAGCGACAGTGGCCAGCTCCAAGCCAAGGCCCTAAGTGGCATTGCTCTTTTTCCACTACTCCTCTTGTGCTCTGTATCTGCCACGAGAAGGGCACGCCCTAGGAGCTGCTGGTCCAAGAACAAGGAGACACATGGAACAGCCCTGAACCCGTCCCACAGCCTGAAGCAGAGCAGCCCAGCCAACCTGCAGACCCGTGAGCAAGGAAAATAAATGTTCATAGCTAAGACATGGAAACAACCTAAGTGTCCATCAATGGCTGAATGGATAAAGAAGATGTGGTGTGTATATATATATATATATACACACACACACACACACAATGGAATATTATTCAGCCATAAAAAAGAAGGAAATCCTGCCATTTGTGACAACATGGATAGACCTCAGGCCATTATGCTAAGTGACGAATACCACATGATCTCACTTATGTAGAATCTAAAAAAGCGAACTCACAGTAACAGTAGAATGGTGGTTGCCAAGGGCTGGAGGGGTGGAGGAAATGGGGAGATGGGGGTCAAAGGGCACAAACTTCCAGTTATAAGATGAATAAGTTCTGGGGATCTAATGAGCAGCATGGCGACTACAGTTAACAACACGCATCGGACACTTACCCACAGAGGCATCTACATTTCACAGGTGTTTGGTGATTGTGACACCACAGACCCCAGCACGTGTGGCTTGGACCCACACACCATGCAGCAGACAAGCCACACACCATGCAGCAGAAGGCAATGTCAATTACCCACTGCTGCGTTTTCCTTTTTCTCCTTCTTTTAAAGCTTTTTTATCTTGAAAACTCTATGATGAGATAGTGCAAAATGAAATATGAGATAGTGCTGGAAGATGCAACCCCCAGGCCAGAAGGCACTCAGCTACTGGGGAGGAGTGAAGAACCAGTGCAAATAGCACTGTGGCTAACGACACAACCTACTAAAGCCGGAAGGATGTCTGTGGCTGAAGTGCATGAAGGTGAAAGGAAAGTCCGATGCTGTGCCACACACAGTTGGAACATGGAACGTGAGAAGCACACAAAGGTGTCAGACAAGGGGGCGTTTTATCTCCCTATCTGTTTAATCTGTATGCAGAACATATCGTATGAAAAACTGGCCTACCATCGACTGATGACTGAATAAAGAAGATGTGGTCTACATATACACACACACACAAAGGAATACTACTCAGCCATAAAAAAGGCAAAATCATCCCATTAGCAACAACATGGCTGGGAAAGTAGAAGTAGAAAGTAGAAGGCAGCAGGAAAAGAGGAAGACCAAATTTGAGCTGGATTGACTTCATAAAGGAAGCCACAGGCACGAGTCTACAGAAGGTGAGTGGCGCTGTTGAGGACAGGACATTGTGGACATCGCTCATTCATAGTGTCACCAGGAGTCAGAGCCGACTTGATCACTCGTAACAACAATTGCATACTTAAAAGTTGCTAAGAGAACAAACCGTAAATGTTCTCACCACACGCACAAACAATGGTAATTATGTGAGGTAAAGGAGCTTAAGGTGAATAACCTTATTGCGGCCCTCATTTCACAACACACACGTGTATCAAATCGTCAGGTGGTACACCTTAAACTTACACCATGTTATATGTCTATTATATCTCCACAAACCTGGGAAAAGAAAAGAAAAAGAAACATTCATTGCTGTAGGACACTGAGCCGGGGATGTGTGATGTGCAGCATTACTAAAGCAGGAACTAAAGGAATAAGATGCCCAGAGCTCCCGGCACAGGAAGTGCTCGAGGGCCAGTGACAGCTCTGCTTGAGCCAGTGTGGCGCAGAGAGAGCATGGGCTTCGGGGTCAGTGCTGTTCTCACTATGCCACCTTGATCATGTTTCTTAGCATCTCTGAGTGAGTGTCTTCATCTGTAAGTGGAGGATATCTGTTGTGAGAATTAAGTAAAATAATCCTGGTAACGTGCTCAGAGCCGTATCAGGTACACCGTGGGTGCTCCATCAGTGGTGTTTTTATTTATTTAACATACATGTGTATTTGCCAGGCACTGTTCTAAGTACTTTACAAATATGATCTTATTTAATGTTTGTACCAACCCTCCATGGTAGGCATTACTATTTTCCTCGTTATACAAATGTGCAGACTGAGGCACTATGCAGTTAAGTTCCACGTCAGGTGGCGGGGGCTGCAAGGAGCAGGAAGGAGCTGGTACTAGAGTTGAGGTCAGAGATCAGAGCATGGGGAGATGGGGGGGGTGTGGGGGACACAGAGGTCCTGCCTAGCCCTGGTAGTGGAGCCACAGCCAGGGGAGGCGTTGGCCTGGAGGTGAGGGCCACGCCATCCTGAAATACTCCTCCACTTCCCACCACTTCACCCGTGGGCTCAGAGCATTCACAGCCACGGAGGAAAAGGAAGGGCGGCCCACGTGTTGTGCTATTAAGTGGACACAAACGGTTTCCCGCCCGGGGAGACGTACCATAGAACAGTGGGTCCCGGGGCGGTTTCCTTTTGACGAGGACACGAGCCAACAGGACGACCAGGAGCAGGATGAGGGCAGCAACCCCCACAATTGTCCAGGAACTGCAACAACCAGAACAGGGAGGTGGTCACTCACCAAAATAAACACGCTGGTGCCCGGAACTTCCTGGCAATTGAAGGCACTCACTCCAGCCCTGCCTCTGCGTGCAGCTCAAGCCCCTCAGGGTGAATGACGTTGATCTGCGCACTCTGGCCCCTCAGGCTGAATGACGTTGATCTGCCCACTCTGGCCCCTCAGGGTGAATGACGTTGATCTGCGCACTCTGGCCCCTCGGGGCCACTCCTGTGAATTTCAGGGACCAGAGGCAGCAGGTCCTCACTCTTGTCACTCTGCACAGACCATGTGCCTGAGCACCCTCAGCCCCACCCCAGCTTGCCCCCAACATGGCCGCTGACCCACTGCCTCTGCTCCTCCAACCCCTGGTCCCTGGTCCTGGTGGGTGACAGGCCTAACCATTGATCTGCCACCTCCCTCAGGGCCAGCTGGAAACTGCAGACTGATCTCCAGGGAACACGCAGGAGTTCAACGACACACACCTTCCAGGGGGACAAGGAAGAAGGGACACAGGTCATGTGCATAATCAAAGGGGCCAGGGGACGAGGCCAATCCAAGGAGGGGAAGAGTCTGGGCCAGACCTGAGGCCAGAATGAAGCCAGCCCCCACACCAGGGCCAGCAGGCCAGCATCCAACCCTAAACCCAAGAAGCCAAGGCTCGGCTCGGTGGAGCACAGCCCCGGATCTTCTCCTGGGAAAGGGCGCGGCACCTGGCACCAAGGAGACCAGGGGCCAAGGCCCCTCCTCAGGGGGGCAGCACTAGGGTCTGAGGCTTGCTGGAGGGAGCAGTCAAGAGACCCAGATTCTAGTACCTGCTCTGCCACTGCCTGACTGTGTGACCTTAGGAAAGTCATGTCATTTCAGTCACCTGTTTATTAATTAAGGAAAAACATATTGAAGAAAAAATATATTACACACCCACACGTGCCAGGCACCATGGATGAACAAGAGAGGCCCCTGTGCTCGTGGAGGGACCTATCTCATGAGCTCTGAGCTCTCATCCACCTCCAGTCCTACAGAGACACTCTGCCCCTCACACTCCAGCACCAGCAGGGCTTCCGGTGCTGATAAACCCCACCTGGCCCGCTCCCACGGACCGCTGCACCACAGCCTCCTGCACAGCCCGAGAGAGCTGCCGCCAGCACCCTCCCCATCAGGATCCCTCCACACAACACAGCCCAACACGAGGACTCTCGGATAACCTTCGCCATACGCACCGGGACTTCTGGAAAGTACCCTTCTCAGTCACAGGTTCCACAGCCCACCAACAGCCTACCAACAGCTGAGGGACAAACTCATGCTGGAGTTCACCCTACACGCCTGCAGCTGGAATGGGTGCTAGGCACTAGGCAGAACTATTTTCCCCTATGTCAGAGGGGTCACTCGGGAAGTGATCCATCCAACCTGCAGGCCCCAAAGAGAGTGGCCACAGGTGCAGGAAAGCCGTATCTCCAGCACCTGGTCCCAGGCCCCACACAGAGTCGGGGAGTGGGCTCTGCGCATCAGCAGCACTCAGATTTCCAAATGCCACCCTAGACTTACAGAATCAGAATACTTCAAGGATGGGGCATGGGAATATGCAACTCTTTTCAAGATACCTGGATAAGTGTGATGCAGCAAGTCTGCCTGAGGACTTCTGCTAAGGTGTACAAGAATTAATAGATGGACGAAGGACGGAAGCGGGGAGAGGAAGCGAGGAAGAAGAAATGGATGGATGGATGGATGATGGATGGTGGATGGATGGTAGATGGAAGGATGGATAGATGGAAGATGAATGGTGGATAGTGAATAAATGGATGGATGGTGGATGGCTGGATGAATGGCTGGCTAGCTGGCTGGATGGCTGGCTGGCTGGCTGGCTGGCTGGATGACACAGTTCTATGATAAGAACAAGGATGACCATGTCAGTGTCCAGGTAATAGACTGAAATAGGAGGTTTCTAGTGGTGCACATCAGTGGATGCTCCAGGCTCCTCTTGTAGAGATGAGCCAAAGGAGGAGAAGATGGAAGAGAAAGTTGATGTGGGTCAGAAACATGATGCTGGGCTGAGGCATGCCGTGAAGAGGGAACAGATTAGGTGCGCTATGTAAGCTGACAGGCATTTTAATCATAAACAGCCTGAGGTAGGTGGTGGCCAGGAGACAACCCTCATCCCTGCTCCTACCAAGGACCTGGGCTCACAGCCAGCAAGATCGCATAGCTGGTGCTCTTCTGGAATATGAGAGAACAGAATAAACCGGTTCACGGCGTCCTCTCATGCTCTCCACCTCTAGTGGAGGAGCAAAGAATGAAGAGAAACTGGGGCACCAGATCATCTCTGTCTCCTGGCGACAGCCAAGTGCAGGACCTGCTCAGACAGGGAGAAACAGATCCAGCAGGGACTTGGAGGCAGGGGGTGATGGGTAAGTACTGTGACTCCCCCAAGAGTGAAAGAGTTGTTAGTCTTGGGATGGGGGGTTTTTATGGATGCCCTTTTGTGAACAGACACCTACTGAGAGGGGACATGTGTGGGTGAGTATGAGAGTGTGTGTGTGTGTGTGTGCATGTGTGTGTGTGTATGTGAGAGAGACAGAGAGAGATTCCAACACTTTCGTGACTCCTCAACCTAATTTGCTTTTTCTGTTTTCCAGGCTTTCATAAATGGTCTGATAGGAAGAAGGCCTCAACTAATTCCAGCGAATCCAAACCTACCTGAATCTGCACAGGGCCCTGTGCCGGGCAGGGCAGTACTAAGGTGAGCTATGGCCTGGGGAGGTAAGTTCTGACCACAGGAAAGCAACTCTCATGGGAAAGGCGCAATCCAAGGGGGCTCAGAGGAGGGAGAGAGCACGTCTGCTTGGAGGGAGGGTCTGGAAAAGGAAAAGGTGCCATTTTGCTCCAGGCCGTCAAGTCCAGGTGTGGCTTCAATAGTCAGCCAGGGAAGAAGGCATCCAGTCAGAGGGGACAGCATGAGCAACGGCAAGGAGGCAGGAAATTTAAGGAGTGTCCAAGGGGTACAGAACATTGCAGTGTGGCTGAAATATTAGCACAGTGGACGTGGGGCGCTGAGGCAGGGGGACCCCCCAGGGGAGGCTCTGCCATGGTCCACGTCAGGGAAGGCCAGTGCCAGGGGAAACTAGAAGGAGGAAACTGATGCTAGCCTAGCCCCAGGCCTTATGGGGAAGGGGACAGTGGCAGGGAGGGAGTGGAGGGGTCAAAGGCCACTGGGATTTTAACCTGCAGGAGGATGGGAAGAAAGGTTGGAACCAATCATTCAAAACTCTACAGGGCTTAGCAATGTGCTCAATAATGCACGGCAATACATAATTCAGTGTGTCCTCAGTAAGTGCCCTCACCACCCTCCTAGTGGCTGAGGCCAAAACCTCCGAGTCATCCTCACATCCTCGCCATGACCTGCAGTCCTTCTGTAAGCTGCACTGCTCTCTCTCCAGAATCTCCCCTGGTCCCAGCCACATCCCTCTCCCAGCACTGCTCCCTGTTCCCCTACCTGGAAGTCTCTGTCCCCAGATCTTCCTGTGGTCACCTCCTGCAGCTCAAGTGTCACCTCCTCCAAGAAGCCTTCCCTGACCACCAGTCCCCTTCCCAGTCACTCTCATGTTGCCCCATTTTATCTGTTGATGTCTGTCTCAACAGCTTCTCCAGCCCTTTCTGGCTTGTTCAGGGCTACAGCCCCAACACTTGGAACAGTGCCAAGCACACAGTAGGGACTCAATGAACACTTGCTGAATTGCCCCTAATGCCATTTTAGGAGTGCAGGGTTCCCCACGCACTATATTCACAGACGTGTGACATCCACTGCCCAGAGTTGCTTTTTCTAGTAGCTGTGCCCCAAGACTGGGTCCGACCGAGCGCAGACACTGCCGGTGCCTAGCGAGTGCTCAGTATGGAGGGGGCGTCTGGATAAGGCAGGCAGCAAGTGGCGGCCCGGCCCGGAGAGGAAGTCCCCGCCCTGTGGGCAGACATTTCTCCGCAGTCGGTCTGGGGGGTTTGCAGCGTACAGACTGATGCAACTTCCTTAGCACCAACTGCTGTGGGAACATAACAGGTTACTTCCTCCTCCCCGCAGACGGCAAGAACAGGAACAAACGCAAGCACGGAGGCCTGGCACCTCTCCCACTGCCCGGGCGGGCGTGCGGCGGCTGGTGCGGGGTTACTCGGCCAGGGATCCCTCAATGGGGAGAAGCAGGGCTTTGAACCAAACCCATCTGCGGCCTCCTTCAGCCCCACCCATTTCCCTAGCATTGAACTGCTCTGCCTCGCATCCCAGCCGCCCATCCTACACAGCGCCCCTACGCAGTCTCTTTGGATCCTGGCAATAGGACGCGAATATAGGCCATTTGACAGACCAGAAAACTGAGGCCAGACACACTGTTAGTGCCGAAGCCAGGCCTACAACCCAGGTCTTTGCCTGTTGGCTCAGGGCTATTTCTGCTAGTCATTCACAACAGTTTCTAAAATTAATAAGAAACGATAAGCATGTGTGTGTCCATACATGGAAACGTTTCTGAGAAATGCGAAACGAACAAGGCATGACCCGAGATAACATGGCCACACTCCTAGTTGTCGGTGTTTGCACCGCCCGCGTCTCTGCCCCTGAGCTCCTCAAGGACAGGGGCATCGCCTTATTGACCTCTGTAACCCCGGACACCTAGCACGGCGCTGGCACGGAGCGGGCGCCCAGCACTCGGCCCAAGAATTGCACCGAATGTCAAGGATGCCAGCCTGAGCGAGGACCCTGGCCCCTGTGATCTCCGGGGCGCCTCCCCGCTCTGGCCCGGCGCGGGGCGCCGCTGGAGGCCGGCGAACCGCTGCCCTGCAGCTGCGGCTCGAGACCCATCTGAAAAGTTGTGGGGCTCCTGCCGCCCGGCGCCGACTCCGCCGCCCCTCGCGCCGCCCCCGCCGCGCGCCCACTCACTCGTGCTGGGCCGCCAGGTGGTTGAAGACGTAGGTGACCGGGATGGCCGAGAGGGACAGCACGAACACCCCGGTGGCCGCAGAGGCACTCATCGCCGCCGCCGCGCCGCCTGCCCTTCACCGCATCCCGGCGGGCGCCCCGCCCAGCTTCCGGCAGCGCCCGCGCCCCTCGGCAGCCGTGCCCTGGAGG